CCCCCCCCCCTTTCCCCCCTGCGGGTGCCCATGCACCTGTCACAAATTCTCGACCCCATCCCCCCTCCCACACTGAGCGTGACTTAATTTGCATTCAACACCTGAGACAGCACAAGGTGACACCCCGTTCTTGTGTCATTCTGTCTGTAGCACACTGGGCTTGTATTTATCTTAGAAATTGTATGACACCAACACGAGCGAGATCTGTCAACTTGTTAATTTTAACTTTTGATTTCACCCACTTTTGAGAGTGCCCTTCGGTACGCCAGACCGGCACCCTCTGCGCCTACCTAACTTTAACCCTAACCCGGTTTACATTCAGCTTTAATTTCAACAAATAACAAAGTTCGATTATTTTACTATCTATAACTTATAAGTCGACAGTTCATCTTCTCCTGTTTCTCCAACCAAAAGAAAAATAAATAAAGTAATTATCAAATGGATTAAAATAATATTTTAAAAAAAAAGGGGGGGGGTGGGATTCCAATGCTTTGAAAAGATGCCATGACGTCATTTACGTGATTACCGTAATTATTGGCGTATAACACGCACTTTTTATCCCTGAAAATAGGGGGCAAATGATAAAATGTTAAGGACCCATAGTACATACCGCATAGCGGCGCGAATGGTGCGTGTTATTCGCCGATAAATACGGTATATCAGTTGCCGAATAAGTTGTATAAGAGTCTCTTCCCTTTGTTTTTTTTTTTGTTGTTTTTTTTTACATGTTTTTTTTTTATTAGATAATTTTTTTTTTTTATGTATTTGTATTCTTACGCCGATGGCATGTTTTCTGTTAAAGTTTTATTGGTTGATTAATTATAATTTTTCCGCTATATTTGACTGCTTTGTATGTTATTCATTTTCTGGATATTCTTTTCGGTGGAACCTGAAATAAAGTATGTAAAAGTGTATTCTATTAAAATGCAACTGTAAGTTGCTTTTTCATAATTTCTTTATTTTATTATTATTTTGGCCTTTACAAATTTGTTTGTTTGTTAATTTTCATAGTTTTCTTGCCACAGTGTATGAATAGCACGTGCTTTTTTACTATTTTTATGGTTTGGGTTAGGTTTAGGGATATATTTAGGGTTCAGGTTAGTTTAAGTGATCGATTTAAGGAGTTTAGGTTAGGGTCAATACCCAGGTTAGGTTTTGGGTCAATACCCAGGCTAGGTTTAGGGATCGATTTACGACTGATCTTACTTCATTAAATTTTCAAGTTTTTTTTGTTTTTTTTGTTTAGTCTTTTCAAGCTAATTACTTTTTTTTTTTTTTTTGGGGGGGGGGG